TTGACCTCGGCAGGGTCCAGGTTGCTGTTGTGCAGCAGCTTGTGCAGGTCCTGCGACAGATGGCGAGAGTGGGTGTCACTGGAACTGACGCCGCCCACCACACGGCGCTTCCACCCCACCGCTCGCCGCCGCCTGAGCTCAGCTGAGGCACCGGGGCGTCACCTGACCCCGGGGCGTCTCCGGGCCCCGAGGCGCCTCCGGGCCCTCGCTGGCCGTGCCGCCCGCTCATAGACGTGACCCACCTCCAGCGAGATACCCCGGATGACGTCCAGCGGGTCGATCACGTTGCCCAGAGACTTGGACATCTTGCGACCGTGCGCGTCGCACACCATGGCGTGGAAGTACACTTCCCTGCGGAGGACCCATGACCACCGTCAGTCAGGACAGACACGCCGAGGCCACTCGGCATCAGTGCGCAGCACGGCACGCTCAACTGTGATGGGCCCGCTCCACCGAACAGGCATGGCCGGCGCAGCAGGGGGTATCCTGGCAGAAGGGGCAATTGCCCCCTCTGCCAGCTTAGGAGACCCTGTTCAAAACTAAAAGCCCCCTGTTCGTAACTACGAGGCTCCCTCTATACATCAGGTAGCCCCTATTCTGGATCAGGAGGGCCCTCAACTGCGTCACAATGTGCCTTCCATGGAACAGGAGGACGCATTTGGGAAAAGCGAGCCTTTTTGTTGAGTGTGGAAGCTGAGTATTAATCGGGACTTTGTCCAGCGTTTTTTCAATCGTGTACATTTATTCAAAGGGACATCTATATATGCAATATATCTCAATGTAGATTATATACAGGAGCATTACATGTATTATTCTCACACCACCCACACACGCACGCACGCACGCACGCACGCACGCACGCACGCACGCACTATATATATATATATATATATATATATATATATATATATATATATGCACATATATCTTATTATTTATGTGTAGGAGGCACGTGGCCTAGGTAAATGCCTGCTTCCAGCTCAAAACCCGTGGCAACGGTCCCCGAGACAGCTATCAAGAATACACCGGTAGCCCCAGAAGCACGATGGTCACAAAGCTGCTACCTCAGAAATGACCTATTGAAACGTCCGCAGCGTCCACGCACAGACTGCTGGCGGGCGCCGCCCTTTTGTAACGTTGCGTTGCATAACCACTGACCGACCACGGCATCCGCCATGGTCCACACGAGCAGAAGAAATCACTCACTTGAACGGCAGCTGGCCCATCAGCTTTCTGCCGAAGAAGACCATCCTGGCCACCCAGAAGAAGATGATGTCGTGGCCGGTCTCCAGCAGGGAGGTCGGGTAGAACCGCTTCAAGTCATCCGTCTGCCAGACAGGTGACGCGTGTTCGGGGCTACACTCACAGCGCTGGACGCGAGTCAAAACGAGAAGCCTGGCGGGTCGGAGCGTGAGGCGGTGAGCCGTGAGCTCGCCAGCCGCAACACGTAGGGAGTCCCGGGGCCGGGCCGGGCGGCGGACTGACCTGGTCCGGCCACCCGAACACGGAGAACGGGAACAGGGCCGAGCTGAACCAGGTGTCGAGCACGTCCGGGTCCTGGCGGAGCGAGACGACCTCGGGCGCCACCTGGAACCGGTCGGCAGCCTTCTGGCGCGCCTCGGCCTCGTCCCGGCCGCTCACCCAGTACCGGCCGTCCGTCTCCTGCAGCGGGGGAGGCCGTTCAGAGGATCACGCAACGTCAGCCGGGCATCTCTTCTGACACCGGCGCGGAGTTATAGAGCCATCGCATACCCATTCCTTGCATGTAGTGCTCCTGTTCCGCTGATGTTATGGCAGGTGGCCTTCTCGCAACACTTTCTCATTTGAGCTGTTAGGTGGCTTTCATAGAGCCTGTCTCAACTTGCTTCACTTTTCCTGCACTTACATGCCTTCACCAAAACTTGCACCACCGCTGCCTCCCGCCCCAGCCTGCTCGCACAGCACCGCGCCTTTCCATCAGCCGTGCCGGTGCCTCACCTCGCCCCGAGGCACGCTGTCGTCGCCGACGGTGACGAAGTAGGCCGGGATGCGGTGGCCCCACCACAGCTGGCGCGAGATGCACCAGTCCCGGATGCCCGACATCCAGTGGTACCAGGTCTTCTGGTACGTCTCCGGGATGATTCCGCAGCTCGCCGGACTTGACCACCTCCATGGCGTCCGCCGCCATCTCGTCACACTTGACGTACCTGACGGTGCCGCCGATGACGTCACGTCCAGCGGGCACAGCGACGAGCAGGGACGCGGCAGGCGAGGGGATAGTTCAGCGACAGGCCGACTTACTGTGGCCTGATTTGGGCTCAGGGGTGCGTCAACAGCAAGGGCCATTCAACATGGTGTATTGGAGATTAGGAGAAGTACAGCGAATGCTGACGGGTTCATCCATATGCTTCCTCATCTAAGACTCAGCTACCATGCAAAAGAGAAATCAAAAGCTCAGCGGAAATGACCACCATCACGGCTTATCATCACACACAACAACCAGCATCAGCCACGCCCTATGGCTGATCAGCGTGATGCCGTGCCGGAGGCCGCCCCCCCCCCCCCCCCCTCCATGGCACTGACCACTGGGGCTTGATAAGCGGCTCGATGATGTCCTTGGAGCGGGTGCAGATGGGCACCACCATTGGGTTGTCCTTGGTCTCCTTGTACAGTCCTTTCTCCTTGAGGGCTGCCAACACGGCGCGCCTGGCCTCGAATCGCGGCATCCCCTGCAAGCCGGACAGGGACGATCAGGGACGAACGGTCAGCAATATCGCTGGTAGGGGGGGGGGAGCGGTCAGCAGCACCGCTAGTAGGAGGGACGGCCGGCAGCACCGCTGGTAGGAGGGACGGTCAGCAGCGCCGCTGGTAGGGGGGACGGTCAGCAGCACCGCTGGTAGGGGGACAGCCAGCAGCATCGCTAGTAGGGGGGACGGCCAGCAGCACCGCTGGTAGGGAGGACGGTCAGCAGCGCCGCTGGTAGGGGGACGGTCAGCAGTGCCGCTGGTAGGGGGACGGTCAGCAGCGCCGCTGGTAGGGACGGGCGGTCAGCAGCACCGCTCACAGCTGGGGTCCGTCTCGCGCGCCACCCACGCACGGTACAGCGGCGCCAGCTGTCACTTCTCACACGAAGGGGAGGGGTCAACCAGCCAGGCAGGTGACATCTATCTGTCGATAACCGTAGCGGAGCCAACCAGGACCACAAGCAGATCACAATATCACTGGTGGGTCATTTTTATTTTTTTCATCAAGAATTCGATCGTTTCACGAAACGTTCAACTCCCTTGGCCATATAGAGTCGACATATATCACGCCCGTTAATGTGGAAACCCACAAAACACCCAGCAACCAGGCCCCAGCGTACGGCCTCCGCATACCGCCAAAGGCGAACATTACAATAAGCCGCGCACTGTGACGGCCGACAGCGTGACCTTCTGACCGCTGCGTTCGGTCTGCCTGGTGCATCGCTGTCACGCACCTGGCGAGGCCGACAAACCACAGCTGCTGCCCATTACCATGATCGCTCCACTTTCCGAGCCCAACACGGCGCGTCCCGACAACTCCAGCCCACGCCAGCCGCCGTCGACGCCGCCGCCGCGGCTCCGCCCGTCACTCACGGAGAACTGGCCGCAGTCGTCGGCGATGCGGCCCTCGTCCGTCATCATGGTGATGAACGGCAGACTGTGCCGCTTGCCGACCTCGTAGTCGTTGGGGTCGTGCGCGGGCGTGATCTTCACTGCGCCCGTGCCGAACTCCATCTCGACGAACGTGTCGCACACGATGGGCAGCCGGCGCGACAGGAACGGGTGCAGCACGAACTTGCCGTGCAGGTGCGTGTACCTGCAGGCGCAGAGCACAGATACTGTGAGATCGGGCCGAGAGCAACGCATAGCGACAGCTGGTCCCATTGGCGTGAATGAGTTTTACGCGGGATTTACGGATATTATTACAAGCTGGCCGAATAAACCACCTAACATACATCTGAATGTTGTTCTTCAAATAAATGACGCAGTCAAAAATCGGCATGTTTTGTAAATGGTGATCGGTGGCATCGCGCAAACATACACTGAAAGCGTTTTCCCCGAGCGTACAAACGCTCTGAAACGCTTCGATTCTAGAGCAATCCCGCCAGGACATCAAAGCGAGTCCGGCACCAGCAAGGGTTTACGGGCTCGCAGTACGACTCATCATGAGGCGTGACATCCGACTGATCACCTGAGGATACCAAACACCACATGCCACCTTCACCTACGGTTGAGAACTGACCTGAGACTACGACCCGTCTTGAACACTGGAGTAACACGCAGGTCCCGCATAATTCTGAGCAGCCTAGACCTCCAAACACCTCCAAAACACAATACGTCTACCGCTTTGGAACATTGGACCCGCAACATTATACGACTTCAGCTCTTCCGACCAGGCCCGCGGTCCAGTAGCACCCCGCCCCCGCTGCTGCCGCGAAGCCCCAGCACGCCCCCTGGCGTCTGACCTGGGATCGTCCGGGTGTACGGCGACGGCCGTGTCGCCGAGCATGGTCTCCACGCGAGTGGTGGCCACCACCAGCTCGTCGCCGCTGCCGTCCACGCGGTAGGCGAACGAGACGAGCACGCCGAACTCCACCTTGTCCTTGTAGCCGGGCACGGCGAGCAGGGTGCGGCCGGGCAGCTCGCGCTTCTCCACCTGGCGGCGACACGAGGCCAGCGTGAGTGAGGCGCGGTGGTGCGGTGCCAGCCAAATGCGGCTCGCACTCGGCACAGTACCCAAGGCATCGCTCGAATACAGCACGGACACCATTCACACAAGGCACAGGATACATACCGACCACGTATGGCACATAACGGCCCACTACGGTACACAACGACCAAGTACGGCACATAACGGCAAGGTACAGTCCAGGTGCACCACAACAAGCACGTGCCCAGCGTGGACATGGCGCAGATGTACACCGAACGCGGCATGGGCGTAGCACGGGCCCGGTGCGCACAGGGTCCGTGTCAGGTCCGTTCCGGGCACAGCACACTTCACGCACGCGGACAGCAAGCGGACACGAGCCAGGCCGGCCGCGTACCTCGATATCGGAGATGGCCGACTTGAGCGTGCAGGACCAGTTGACGAGTCGCAAGCTGCGGTAGATGACGCCCTCGTCGTGCAGGACGCACGAACGCCTCCTTGACGGCGCGCGCCAGCTTCGGGTCCATGGTGAAGCTGGCCCGGGACCAATCAAAGGACGAGCCGAGCCGACGCAGCTGCTCGTAGATGAGATCGCCCTTCCTGCGGAGACGCGAGCGCGATGGAGGGGGGGGGGGGGGGGCGTCATACAGACCCATACGTCACATCCAGGACGGACGAGGCACACATCTGCGTCTTTTAGGTTGTGCATCGCGGGATACAGCAGGCCACGTTTACAGTAAACGTCCGAATGTTGGCGTATAAGGGGCATCGCTGTTCCAAACATGGTACCAGTAGTTATTTCTGCCTGATAATCAGTGCCTGTCAAACAGGAGCAGTGTCGGACATGAAGTGTTTTCCAATAAACAACGAAAATATGGCAGCAAACATGATTCAACACAAACTCTGTACAAGTGATACAGAGCCACCAACATCCATCATGCGCGCCGCTGCGCTGCTCGCCCGCCCGCCACTCACTCGTTCTTCCACTCCCAGACTTTCTCGACGAACTTCTCACGGCCGAGGTCGTGCCGCGTGAGCTTCTGCTCGCGCATCAGCCGCTTCTCCACCACCACCTGGGTGGCGATGCCGGCGTGGTCGCAGCCGGGCACCCAGAGCGCGCTGCGACCCTTCATGCGGTGCCTGCGGGCGACGGTAAATGGTGACCGGGCGGCTCGCGGCGGGGGAAACGCTTGCTGGGAAAGGCCCCTGTTGCAGGCTGGGAAAGGCTCCTGTTGCCTCCCCCACATTACTAAAGCAGTTGAGTATGGTTGGAGCATGCTGATGATGACTCCGAGTCAACAGGAGCCTTCTGCCTTATGACCAAACCAGCTGCTGCCTTATACTGACTGGGGAATCATTGCAAGGTGTTCAGTATCGTTCGATCGTTCGTCAACACGCATCCGTTGGCTGATGCTGTATTTCGAGGTTTGGGCATCGGGCCAGGAAGAGGACATGCGCTTCCTCTCCCTGGCGGCGCTCGCGAGACGACTGCCCCGTTACCGGGCGGCGCGACCCCGCACAGGACACGACACATGTGGCGCAGTTTCCGGGCTGGCCGTAGGACCGGGGTCGCAGGGACAGTGAACTAAACAACACATAAATCTAAAGGGAAACTCGACAGGGGACCGAGAAATGGAGATGAAAACAGAAGCTCAGAGACGGGACAGCAGAGCCGACATTTCACAAAGAAGGGGAACCGTGTTAAGGCAGATTTGTATGGAACACATGGTATGCTGCAGAGATGTTGTTTTTTCGACCACTGCGCGTCACAGGTTGCAGCTCAGTCTCGCTACAGTCACGTCATATGCTGCAGCTCAGTCTCATTGCAGTCCCGCCACAAGCTGCAGCCCAGTCTCGCTGTGGTCTCGCCACAGGGTGCAGCTCAGCCAAGCGCCAAGCACTCAGCCCCCCCTCTCCTCTCTCTCCTCTCTCA